GCATTGAATGATGTGATAAAGTAACTCATAGAATCTGAGAATTGGAAGGAACTTTATGAATCATCTAGTCTGACCTACCCCTGAATAAGAATTCTCACTATAACATAACTGATATGTGGTCATCCAGCTTTTGCTTGAAGGCATCCTTTGAAGGGGAACCCTCTAACCCCCCTTTTAACTTCTGTATAAATAATTGTTAGGAAGATTTTCCTTATATTGAGCCTAATTCTGTTTCTCCCTAACTCCCACCAATTGCTTCTTGGGCTCTAGGGCCAAGTAGTACACATATAATCCCTCTCCCAAATGGTAGCTCTTCAGATATTTGAAGAGAGCTATACATCCCTTTAAAGTATCCCCATTAACTGATAGATGAAGAAGCTGGGACCCAGGGATGGTAAATGTTGTCCCCAAAGTCACACAGGTAGTAAATAGCTGAGGTAGGTCCACTGTAACCTAATGTCAGTGACCAATTAGCCAGTGATCAGGTTCACTGACTCCAATGTTAAAGGCTTCTACTGTACCACTTCATGGATCATGCATTTAACTTTTCCTCTCTCAGTTCTCTAGCTCACCCTGCTCTGTTCCTTCTCCCCTTTCTCCTCCCACTTTTGCAAGCACTGTAACCACTCAATAACAGGTAAGGGCATTGCCTCATTCAGCCATTCCAGATTGCTTCGTTCAAATATCTAAAGGGTTACCTCATGGAAGATGCTTAAGATTTGCTCTCTTTGGCCAGATAGGACTAAACCAGAAACCACTAAGGGGTGGGAAGTTGTGAAGTCAGTCAGTCAATAAACATTTATTAAGCACTTAACATGTTCCAGGCATTGTGTTAAGTGCTGGGGATACAAAGAAAGGCAAAAGACAGACTCTGTTCTTTGGGAGCCCACAATCTAATGGAGGAGAAAGAATGTAAATAACTGTGTACAAACAAGCTATATGCAGGATAAATAGGAAATAATCAAGAGAGGGGAAGCATTAGAATCAAGAGGGATTGGGGGGGGGAGCAAATTTAGGCTTGGTGTCTGGGAAAACTTTCTAAGAGCCAGGATTATAGGACCATAGATGGAAGGGACCTTAGAAGACACTGGATTCAATTACTTCACTTTATAGATGAGGAAACTTAGATACAGAGAAGGTAAATGATTGCTTGGGGGTACATATGCAGCTAGGAAGTGGTTGGGGTAGAATGTGAAGCCATACCTTCCTGACTCTGGGTCCAGAGTTCTATCTAGTATACCACATTATGCATCTGTATTCCTCTTTTGCTTTTCTGTTTCATTCAGAAATCATTCTCTAATTGTTCACAGTCTTCCAATTTCATGGTTGTCATGCCTGAGAAATATTTGTTGGAGAGTTTTCTATGCAAAAATTAGAACTTTTCTTCATTATCAATCACCACTGTTAGCAAATCATATCTAGTGGAACCCACTGTGAGCAGAACATAACACCAAGGAGTTAATACAGAAGTTAGTAAAAGGCATTCGTGAAGCTCAAATTCCAAGACAGATGATGATTCTGTGCGTTCATATGCAAGGGGCAAGACTGAACAACAAAACTAACACACAAGAAGCAACAACTGTGCTCAAATGCACAGGTGTATATGCATACTTTGACACATTTTGCTCATTAAAAAAAAAAACCTTTCTGGATCTTGCCCAAATCCCCAACCTTCACTCTCCACCTTCTTTTGTGTAGAAGTTTGAAGGGCTGGGAAACAAGATAAGGAAATTATATAGAGAACAATAGGGGAGAGAGTAGTGAAAATATTGCAGCTGAGAGAATGAAAATTGGGGCCTTGTGCAGGAGTTTTGTATTAATGGAACCTAAGAAATAACCACAGGGCACATAAAGGCTGAAACTAGGATAGAGTAGCTGGGGTTTTGCCCCATGTTGCTGAAAGGATTTTAACAGTACTTGTGCTATTTCTGAAAGTAGAAACAACTGAACTTCATACATAGCTAGAAAGAATAATTAGTTTCAAAGAGAGGTTACGCCCTCCTCACCCCTCACCCACCCAAAGATGAATGGATAGCTCTCCAGTCTCACCCTACCTTGCTTCCTTTCCCTGGGCAGCCTTACCAGCATCTGCCTTGTATAGTCCATGGGGTCTCTGTCTCTCTTCCCACAGGACCATGTGTTCTGAGGATTCTTCCCGAGGTCTCCCTCCAAATTAAACTGAATTCACCTTAAAGAGTTGGTTCCTAGGTGGCGCTGGCGAAGCTTGTCCTAAAGCACACATTATGTTGTCTACCAAAGTCACCAGAATTGCTAGCTTCAGCACAAGAGCAACTGAAAATGTGGATAATTGGCTGTAGATAGAACATGTCAGGCTAGGAACCAAGATCACAGAGGAGCAGAATCTCAGAACTGAAATAGAATGCTACGGCCTTATGAGTCAAACTTCTACCCAAATAGTTATCCCCACTAAAGCATCCCCCAAAATGGCATCTATCCTGTGCTTAAAGACCTCCAAGGATGGGAAACTCACCACCTTTCAAGGGAGCACATTCACAGATTCATAGGGACTCCAACCCCTTCATTGCACAGATGAGGAAACTGGGGCCTAGATGGATTAAGTAACTTGTACACATGTAGTAAGTCTGAAAAGTGGAATCTGAACCCAGGTCCTCTGACTCTGGAGCCCCTGGTTCTTTCGATGTGCCATGCTGCGTTCTGCTTTTTGGTACTGTTGTGTAGTCATTTCGGTCACGTCCTGCCTTCTTGACCGCCTTCGGGATTTTCCTGGCAGAAATACTGGAGTGGTTTACCATTTCCTTCTCCAGCTCATTTAACAGATGAGGATACTAAGGCAAACAGGGTTAAGTGACTTGCTCAGACTCGCATAGATAGTAAGCGTCTGAGGCCAGATTTGAACTCCAGAAGATGAGTCTTCTGATTCCAAGCCCAGTGCTCTGTGCACTGTGGCACCACCTAGCTGCGTTCTGCTTTGGTACGGCTCAAATCATTCACAAGTTTTTCTGCTCCTTCTTTGCTGCTGCTACCCATTGCTCCTGGTTCTGTGCCCTGGGGCCGAGGTAAGAGAGCAAATCCACGTGCCAGTGCTCCAAATACTTCAACACAGCTATCAGGAATCCCCACATGGCGTAGTGCTCCCAGATATATCCCTGAGTGATTACAGCAAAGAGGAAGAGGAAGAGGAAAAGACAGGGTGAGCTAGAGACCAGAGAAGGATGCCTGATTGGAGAGGAAGAGAAAAGGTTAAGTGCATGATCCTTAACTGATCTATTAAGGACACAACATAACCCTCCCCCCACTAACACAAAGAAGGACACCTAGATTTGGAGCTAGAGGATCCGGGTTCGAATCCCAGCTTTTGACTCTTAATGTGACTTTGGACTAGTCTCTCAACCATACTGGGCTTCAGCTCCCTCAGCTATAAAATGAGGGGTTAGCCTACTTCAGTGGTTATTTAGTCTCTTAAATATTATTGAGGACCCTGCCAAATAATTTTTGTCTATGGATATTTATGCTATTAGAAATGAAAACATCTTAGTATTATGAAAACAGTTTTGATCTCAGACCCCTGAAAGGGTCTCAAGGACCCCCTGCCCCCCCAACCACACTTCTAGCACTGCTGGTCTAGATGGCTTCTAGGATCCCTTTTAGATCTAGCTATGATCCTATATTTTTACTGTAAATATTGTGACTAGGTGCTCTCTCCAGGACAACTCCGTGATTTCCAACCTAGTCATATTGTATCTGGACACTGGATTAGATAAATACTAGTCCAGCTTCTCTTGCCGAGTACATTCTGAGAAAGGAACAGATGAAGCCTGTCCCTCGTAAGTGTTTATCATGAATATTGTAATTACAATAACCACTCACATCTTCCCATTGCTTTAAGTTGTACATCGTGCTTTCCTCAAAACAATACTGAAGTATCACAGAATCACAGATGGGAGAGTTAAAAGAGATTTACTTCAGTGGCTATCTAACCCAAACCCATAGAGCAAAGGGGTATATAACATGCTCTATATGCAGCTGTCTAGTATCTTCTTGAAGACCTCTAAGGAGGGGGACCCCACCACCTGTCACTCAAGGCAGCCCATGCCGCTTTGGGGCAACTCCAATTACTAAAGAATTTTTCCCAACATCAAATCTAAATTTACACCTTTGTAACTTTTACTCATTACTTTGGGTTCTGCCCTCTGGGGCAAAACAGAACAAGTGATTCGGCCCCCACATAACAGAGCTTCAAGTACTTGTAGATATCTGTCCCTCCTGAATCTTCTTTTTTTCTAAAAACTAAAAATTCCTTCAAGCAACCTTCACTTATCACTGGACCATCTTGTAAGCTCTCTTCATCTTATCAATGCCCTCCTTATACTCTGATGCCCAGAACTGAGCACAATATGCTAAATGCGTTTTGATTAGGACAGAGTACAATGGGAGCAATCACCTCTCTATTCCTGGAAAACATACTCTGTTTAATGTCATCTAAGTTCTTCTTACCTTTTTTCAGCTGTCACATTACACTAATGACTCATATTGAACTTGTAGTCCGCTAAAACTCCAAGATCATTTTCAGAACCCTTATCCACCCATGGCTCCCTCATCTTATACTTGTGATGCTGAAAACACTTTCACATTTCCCTTTATTGAATTTCATATTATTATATCCAACACAGTTGGCTAGTAGGTCGAGATCCTTTTATATCCTTTGGTCATAGAGTGTGTTAGCTGTTCTGGCCAGCTTTGGGTCATCTGCAAATCTGATGAGTGTGCCATCTATACAGGAACCCAGATTTCGAACCCAGGTCCTCTGATTCCAAATGCAGTACTCTTTCCAGGAAAGATCCTGGATAGTCGGGTGCAAAACACATTACGGCTGGGACGAGCGGGAAAGACAGCAGGAGCTGTGGAACAAGACGCCTTCCTCCCCCCGGCAGGCATGCATTTTGCTGGTCCGGTTCGGGGCTGGACGCCGGCTTGGGTTGCCAAGGACCCAAGCGCCGTCGTTGCCCGGTGACGGGTGCGCTGTTTACTAGGTCGCTTAGATCATCCGGACAGCAGAGAGGGAGGGAGGGAGCGACGCGCTTCCTCAGTCTCAGGCTCGCGCAGAAACCTGGAGCACGAGCCTCCAGGTGGCCTCTAGGCCTCTACTGCTCCCCGCAGTCCTCTGCCTGCCTGCTGTTCCTGCGAACTACCTTCGCCTTCGCCTCGAGCCATGGCCTCCCGCAGCGCGGGCACCCTGCTTACCGGCAACAATGCCACCTACGTGCCCGCCCAGCCTCATGCCTGGGTAAGCCAAGGGGCTCTGCGCTTCTCCAGACCCACAGCTGCTAGTAGAGAAGTCCCGGAGCCGGTCCTGGGGGTGGGCCTAGGGCAGAGAGATAGGGACAGATATATGTGGCACAAAATCAGAAGCCTCCGGGCAGCACCCTACAGAAGGCTGCACCCCAGGAAGACCGAGGATCAAATCCTGCCTCTGATGCTTGCTGTGCAACCAAGGGCAGGCAGGTCTGTTAACATCTCCGAGCCTCAGTTTCCTTATCTGTAAAACGGAGATAGTTACACCTATCCCAGTACCTACCACCCAGGACTGTTATGAGATTCCAATGAGATATTGTATGGAATGCTCTTTGTTAAAGCACCCTATTAATGATGGGGGGGAGGGTAATGGGGGTGGTAGTAGTAATAGTAATAGTAGTAGTTATCGTTATCATCATCATGGTAATTATTATTCAGGACACACACTAGTGACAGGACAGGGGGCTGATTCTCTCAGCCTGCCCCAAGAGCTGGAGCCAGGAGGTAGAAAACAAATAGGGTTCCTGGGGCTGGCACCCTAGGGCAACACCAGCCAACTCTCCTCGGGTTGGGAGGGAAGGGTAATTGAAAGAAATCACTTTCAACTGTAAAGGGGTGAGATATATGGAAAGTGACAAAAACCTTGCTTGTCCATAGATGGAAAAGGAGCTAACGAGGACCATTCTTCAGGGGACAGATCATGCTCTTTCCCAGTCCCAGCTTTCCCATACTTTTTAGCCTTGGTTTGTTGCAGTTATTCATTGATCCTTGAGATCTTCTAGGAGTAGGAGGGGCCCCTACCATAACAAGCTTGGTAACATTCACATCCTAGACACAGAGAATCATAGGAAAACCTGAAATGTTACAACTGGGGGAGGAGGGATCTTGGAAGTTGCCTCATCCAAAATCACTTACTTTACGTAAGAGGAAACTGAGACCCAAAGAGTAAACACAGAGATGGTGAAGTATGGTGCAGTAGAGGGACCTATACAGAGGGCGAGGAGTGTGGGGTCCTTGTGTACTTTTATGTAATCTGAACACTTTTACAGAATTGGACTCAGTTGTCCGTAAAAGTCTTGCAAGACTTTACAAGCCTTTTTAGACAAGTGGCCTTATGTTTATGTGTTAGATTTTTTTTTTTAAAGGATCTGCCTATCTTTTCTCTCTTCCATTTTCACCCAGGCAGGGCTTCAGATCAAACACTTGCCCAGTTCTCCTCCTACCTTCCTCCTACTTGCTGCCATGGGAACCTCCTGCTCTAAGGTCCCTACTGCTGTCCTCACCTACTCCCTTAGCTTAGCATTTCACATTATCAGCCTGTATATGCATCTGGGGACAAAGATCTGAGGACCTCTGTGCCAGACCTGGTCCAAGGGTAGCATCATGATCCCCAGCCCATTCTAGGCATGACATGACAAAATCTGATTTTCTTGAAAAGGGGGAAGAGTAGTACAGAAAGAATGCAGGATTTAGAGTCAGAGAACTGGGTTCAAATCCTTACTCTGACACTTATTAGCTGTACTTTTGGGCAAATCTCTGAGCCTAAGTTTCCCTTTCTGTAAAAAGAAGGATTTGAAATAGCCTCTGACATCCCTTCCAGATCTAAATCCATGACCCAATGAATGTCCATTTAGAGTCTCATGTCATAAACTTAAAATCGAAGGGTCCTCAGAGTCCACCTAGTCCAACCCTGACATTTTACAGAAAAAGATCCTGAAGTTCAAAAGGAGGTGATTGACTTGCCCAAGGTCACACAGGCAGTAGTTGGCAGAATCAAGAATTTGAAACAGACCCTCTGGTTCCAAATCCACTATACTTTCCTCGAGTTTGGACTTGAACCTGTGTGTGATGGGGAGCCATTGTAGGTTTTTGAACAAGGGGCGACATGATGAAAATGGTGTTTTAGGAAGATTGATCTGCTAGAAATATGAAGGATAGATTGGAAATGGAAAATTTTCTACTAGAGGCATTAGTAAAAAGCTTTTGAAGTGGTCTAGGCATGAAGCTTTAACTAATAGTTTGATCCAGTTCAAGGCAGGTCAAATGACTTGCCCAAAGTCATTGCTCTTTACAATTGCAACCATTGTTGGGTGCCCAGCAACCATCTTTTGACTCACATAGGCATACACACTGGCTTCTGGCTTTTCAGGAGTGCTGACTTCCAGACTTAGAGCTACAAAGCAGGCTAGAATTATTTGGAACAGCACAAAGACTTTTTTTTCCCCTCCTTGTCCTGTTTCTTCTAAAAGGGTAGGTGGTGCAGTGGATAGAGCACCGGCCCTGGATTCAGGAGGACCTGAGTTCAAATCCATCCTCAGACATATAACACTTACTAGCTGTGTGACCCTGGGCAACTCACTTAACCCCATTACCTAGCCAAAAAAATAAAAATAAAATAAAATAAAAAAATAAAAGGGTAGGCGATAGTGTAGTTCTCAAATTCATCTTAAGAGGTGCATTTCTCAAGCCACTTTCACCTCTGCTCATTCACTCCTTTTAGACGATATATGTAAATTGACAATACCTCTTCACTGCATTCTGGACTTGGGGAGCAACTCCAATTGAATTCAGTTGATCGGTGTGCCAGGTACCATGCTTCTTAGGCACTGGAGATGCCAAGACTACAACCCATGTCCTCCAGTACCTTCTAGAGGAATTGTATGGATTGTGCATCAGAACATTGCTCTACTACATGCAAACGTAGTCCCTTCTGTGGTTGGAGTCCTAATTACCTCTCACCTAGACTATTGCAATAGGTTTCTGTTTGGTTTCCTTGCCTCTGTTTCCTCCCCTTTGCCATACATCCTCCAAACAGAGCCCATATTGATATTTCTAAAGCCCAGTTCTGTCCATCCTATTCTTCTGCTAAAGAAACATCAATAACTCCCCATTACCTGTAGGACTAAATATAAACTTTTCTGTTTGGCAGTTAAAGCCCTTTGTTGCCTGGCTCCACATCAGCTTTCCAGGCTGCTTATGAATTACTGCTCCTGTCATACTGACCTATTTGCTTTTCCCTATATACAACCTTTTGTCTCCCATCTCCCACCTCCCATAACTATGGGCCAGCAGAGTATCTGGCACCCAGTAAATGCTTAAACAAATGCTTTTCATTTATTCATTCCCAACTTCATGCCTTTGCTCAGGCTGTGACTCATGCCTGTGATGCTCCCCCCTCCCTCCTGCCTCTTTGAATCTGTAGGAAGCTCCCTTTACTCAAGTGCTCTGTCATACAAGGAGTCCCACAGTAGTTAGAGCGCCTCCCTCCCCCAAAGTTCCTTTGGGTTTATTTTCCATGGATTTGGTATCAGAACCAGATCCTCTGATTCTAGAGGCAGGGCTCTTTCCATTGTACAACACCACCTCCTGCTGAAAAATCACAGGTCTAGTCAAAAAAACATGTAATTTTTTCTCCAATCTACCTGCATATACATATTGTTTTCCCCCAGCAGAAGGTAAGTTTTTTGAAAATAGGGATTCTTTTGGTTTTTGTCCTTGTATCCCAGCGCCTAGAACAGCACCTTATAAAAGGGACAGAATAGGGACTTGACTTATCATTTCACTGATAAAGAACTCCAACCCCCCTCTCCTGTGCACGTTGTCACTTTCTTTGGCATGTAGATAGTCTTAGGGAATTGTCTGGTGCAGCACTTATGGATGAAGAGACCTGCTGAGGGTTCTAGGCAGTATGAGATCTTAGAGGTATGACTTGACTCTCCATATTCTTGACCCAGGCGCCAGCTCTCTTTGCTTGCCAGCTTAATGGAATGGAATGGAATGAGTAGAAGATCACACTTGATGAGAGCACTCAGATGCCTTCCCACTCTGAGGTCCTAAGGCTCAGTCCCCTCATTCTGCTCCTTTTGGGTCCATTCCACCCTCACCATTTTATCTAAATGACTGCCTAAAAATTGCTTTTCTATTTGTTCTCAGCAATAAGCATAGGAATGAGAAGGGTGGGCCGTTGGGGAGGGGAGGAGGTGAAGGAACTGCTGAAGATGAACAAGTTAATTAGTTAATAAAGCTTCAATCGGTGTCCCTGATGGCTCGTGGTAACAGTAATGAATGTTAGATATTAGCTCAGGGAGGAGCTGGTGCTATTAAGAGGGAAGGGGGGGAGATTTCTCCCCTTGAACAGCAAAGCCCCACTCCTGATCTGCTGAACCAACAGCAGCAAAGATTTTCCTCTCTGGTGCCATGCATTTTCTCTGTGTGTATACTTTGGGGGAGGAGCAGAAGAGGGGCAACTGAGAGCTGGATACAAATGCTTATAGAATGTTTGAGGTCCTGCTATATAACCCATCGTACTCCATTGTAGTAGAATGGAAAGGTTGTTATATTGGGAGGGGTCAGAGGACCTGGGTTCAAATATTCTCTTTGTCCACTAGCTATATTGCTTTGGGTCAGTCACTTCCCCCTCTAGGCCACAGTTTCCTCATTTTTAAAATGAGTGGGTTGGGACCAATGACCTCTGAAACATCTTCCAAATCTAAATCTGTAATCCCATGAACTGTGCTCAGTATAATCAACAATAAATCAGCAAACCAAGCTAGCCTTTGTCTTCTGAAGGACCAAACCTTCCCTGAGTGCCCTCTAAGGAATACCTTCCAAGAAGGTTATACAGCCCCTCTAGGGCTGCACCCCCTGGTCAGAGCTGGGCATGCAGCAGGGGCCCAGATATGCATCTCTACCAGAAACACACTCACATGTGTGAGAGCTAGAGAGATGCTCTCACAGCAACCCAGAAGGGAAGTCAGGCAGAGTCCTGGGAGGAGGGTGGAGGAGAGAAGGCTTCAATTTGGATGCAAATATTCTGCCATTCGATGAGTGGGAAAGCAATGTGCAGAGGAGGAACAGAACAGAGTTTGGGGGTGGCTACAAGAAGAATATTAATAGTACCTCGAATTTCTATTGTACCTTTCTCTGGAGGAAGCCTAAATCCCACTGGGGAAAATGATGAATTATTAGAGGAGCTCTGGAATAAGTGAGGAA